AAAGTAGATGCAAAGATCTTAAATATTTGTAAATGAAGTCTGGGGATTTACGTTAGAACAATACAGCATGACTACATGGGGTTTATTCCAGGAATATAAAGGTGGTTTGATATTTGACAATCCATCAACATAATCCACATTAACAGACTAAATGAAAAATATATATTATTTCCTCAATAGATGCAGAAGAAAACATGCTATACACATAATAACTACTCACTTTAGAACTCTCAGTAAATCAGGAATAAAAGGAACTTCCTTTAATGCTTACAGCAATATCATACTTCATGGTGAAATACTGAGTACTTTCCCCCTGTGGGGAGAGGGGAGATATCCATTATACCACTTCTATTCAACATTGTTATTATACTGAAAGTACTAGCCAATGCAAGAAATGATTGAAAAGATTTGTAAAGGATGCTTGTATATGTAACTAATGTAAATTAATCTACTAGCTATTAGAATAAGTAGGTATATTTAACAAGGCCACCAAGTTTCAAGTCAGTATTTTAAAATCAATTATATTTCTATACACTAGAAGTAATTAGGAAAAAACTAAAAAATGTCATTGCCAACATTAAAAAACATCAAATATCGGGGAGTAAATCTAACAAAAGACATATGCATACATGTACACTGAACACTACAAACAGCTGACAAGAATTAAAGAACTAAATTGTCACAGATTGGAAGACTCAATTGTTAAAATGTTAATTCTCTTCCAAATAGCTATCAAATACAATGGAATCAACATTAAAATCTCAGCAGGATTTGTATGTTGGGGAGAGGAGTTAAATTAACAGTTTGATTCTAAAATTTATATGGAAATGCAAAAGTTCAAGAAAACCTAAATAAATCTTGAAGAACAAAGTCAGAAGACATATGAAATATTAAAACTTATAAAGCTACTGGAACTCAAACAGGGTAGTATGAAGTAAGGATGGACAGATAGATTAATAGAACAGAATGGAGAACCCCAAAATAGGTCTATCCCTCTTTTTCCACAAAAGTGACACTGCAAGGCAGAGGCGGAGTCAATTAGGTATTTATATGAGGAGAGAATGAACATTTACCCACTGATCCCCTACCTCACGACACTCAGTCCCTATGAACTGTGGATCTAAAATGTGAAAAGTGACCTTGTAAAGTTTCTAAAAGAAAAAAAGGATACTATCTTCTGGACAATGGAGTAGGCAAAGATTTCCCAAAAAAGCTTCAAAAAGCACTAACTGTAAAAGAAAAGATTGACAATTAGACTTCATTAAAATTAAGAGGTTTGGATTATCAAAAGGAATCAGTAAGTGACCAAAAGGGCCAACCACAGACCGCCAGTGATATTTACAGTGCACCGATCTGACCGACACCCAGCGTCCCGAATACACAAAGAATTCCTACAAGTCAGTAAGAAAAGACCCACAACCCAATCTACTAAAGGCCGAAGGATCTGGACCAGGCTCTCCACAGGAGCCCCAGATGGCCAGTAGGCACCTGGGAAGGCGCCCGGTCACCCGGGAAGCCACACAGAGGTACTCATATACACCCACCTAGTGCGCAAAGTGACAGCGACAATGCCAACTGCAGCCTTGGATGTGGGGCAACTGGGACCCATCCTCGGGCCAAACCCCATTTGGTGGTGTCTTGTAAGACTCAATACGGCCTGCCCTAGATTCGGCAATTTTACTCCGAGGAGTTCCCCACGAAAATGAAGGCCTGTCTCACAAAGAAGCGCGCACAGGAGTTTACCAGGAGAAAGGAAAGGGCTCTCCATCGCCTCTGGGAGACCCTTGAGTGCAAGCACATTCGGTTTTCCACCGGTTTCCCAGGAAGGCGGGCTCCCAAGTTGACCGGCTTGAGGGGCGGTGGGTAGGGGGAAGTAGGGTGGAGGGCAGGGGGTGTCCAGAGTAGGGGCATGGAGGGCAGGGTGGGTGAGAGCAGGCGTCCTGCCCTGGGAGCCTGGCGGCCCTGGGTCTGGTGGGCGCGGACACTGACTGTTCTCCTCTCTGGGGTCCTCTTCCATTGCGGCAGGGAGACAGCGCCTTCCCTCCACCCGGCTGGATGCCGCCGCTCTGGCCGCTGCGGGATGCGCAGGCCTGGGGCGGGGGCGGCCCAACGGCCGCGCAGGACCAGCGCGGGGGGTGTGGGAGGCGGGCCCGCGGCCGGGAGGCAGGCGTGGGACCGGGCCGCCCCCGCCGGGCCACGTGGTTCCGCCCCGCGCCGGGCTTTCGGGGCCACACAGACCCGCCCTGGTGGCCAGAGGCCCCCATGTCAAAAACACCCGAGGGTCACAGTCGCCCCTCCCAGGAACGAGCCCGGCGCAGGCTCCGCCCCGCAGCTCCCACTCCCGGGGACCCCGCGGGACTCCCGGAGCCCCAGGTGCAGGTTGAGAGGAACTAACAATTCTAGAAGATTCCAGGTGTACTCGGGACAAGGAGATAGCGCACTAACTCTCGGGCATGATTTGAACGGAAGCAAATGTTATTCTCATACCCAGACTGTCCCTGCACCTTGTTGGGGGTGACCCAAGACACAGGAGACCCCCAGCCCTGGGCTAGACCTCCGGTGAATGAGGATCAAAACACACTACTTACTAAGGGATGGAGAAGGCAGGGAATGCCCAGTGGCGGCCCCGCGAGGATCCCCGCGGCGGGGGTGCAGGGCCAGGGCTGCGGACTGGGGCGGCTCCCCGTTCCGCGGAGGAAACGGGGGTGGCTCGGGAGTCCTCGGGATCACTGGGGCCCGCGCTGCACCCGGTGTCGCACGCCCCCTGGACGCCCCATCTGGGCGTCCTGCATCTTTGCGGAAGGGGTGAGTAGAGAAGATCCAACCACCCTACTTGTGCCCTAGCTTGGTAATTTCCAAAACCTAGATATCATCTTTATTAGGTTTAAAATAATCATTTTGCATTTAATTTCCCAAGAAAACCCAAAAGTGAGGTTCTGCTCCCACTTTGAAGTGGCTGTGGACGACACAGCGCGGTGTGGGTCGATCCCTCGAGGGGCCCCCCCAGTCCCTCTGCGGTCTTCACGGGGAGACTCCCCACCCCAGACAGACCGCAGGGGTTACATAAAGCTGCTGAATTAGCAGGTGGCTGGCCCTCCTAAGCTTTACCTCTCAATTTTTCCAGAACCTGGGCAAGGAGATGCCTGGGCGACCCACAATTAAACAGGCCATTATTTACATGTTAGCGTTTATTAGGCAATATTAAACCATATTAAACAAAAATGTAAATAGAAACATAAGTATCAATTTAAAAACCCCATTTGTCTGCATTTTTCAAACTCTCTTTGAAATAAGTAAGTGCAAGCTTGTATTAAATCCCCAGGTGCCTACTCTATGCCAGCTCTAAGACTCAGGCTTTCTGGACCCCGAAGAAGTTGCCAGCATCACCTGTGCAGTCCCTGGGACCCTGTCCCGGCTCCAGAGAAGGCCCTACCTGGCCTCCTTGCCTGGGAGATTCCGGAAGAGCAGGCAGCCTGAGCTACAGCAGGAGGTCTGCAGGAGAGCCGCCTCATGTGCTCATGCTCACGTGGGATGTGGCCAAGGCATTAGCCTGTCTGGCCCCCAGCTCTGTCCTTGTCCCTTGGAGCTGCCCTGGAGTGTGAAAGGGGCTGCTTTGCCCCTTCACCCAGCAGCCAGCCAGGGCTGAGGACCACACTTCCTAGGACAGCACTCTCCGAGTTCCAGTTGCCTTACCTGCACTCCTGTTTGATTGAAAATGGCCCGACTTGTCCTGAATACTGTGAGGACACTCTAGCAGCCAGTCACTTGTGCTCAGAGGTGAAAAATCAGGGTGGATCCCCAAATTCCCCTCACAGGTGTGCCAGGTCTCACTGGCCAGTCCCAGCCAGCCCTCATCTCCTGGGGCACATTAATGTGCCTCAACTTAGCAAAGAGCAAACATTAGCATCTCCAGCACAGGGCACTAATCTCCTCATACTGGAAGAAAAGAGACAAAACCTATTAAGTATGCAGCCTTCTGAATGAAAGAACCTGTCCAGAAACAATTCCTAAGACAATTAACATTTCCACTTTGAGAAGGCGCTCACTCGTGGGAATTTCCTGGTGCCCATGTCAATTGAGAGGAACTAACAATTCTAGAAGATTCCAGGTGTACTCGGGACAAGGAGATAGTGCACTGACTCTCGGGCATGATTTTAACTGAAGTAAATGTTATTCTCATACCCAGACTGTCCCTGCACCTTGTTGGGGGTGACCCAAGACACAGGAGACCCCCAGCCCTGGGCTAGACCTCCAGTGAGTGAGGATCAAAACACACTACTTACTAAGGGATGGAGAAGGCAGGGAATGCCCAGTGGCGCCCCCGCGAGGATCCCCGCGGGGGTGTCTTGCATTCTGAGCAGGGTAATGGGAATGGGAGCAGAACTGACAAGGCAGGTGGGGGGCCTCAGCTGGGTCACCAAAGCCATCAAGACAGAGCTGTGGCCCTGTCAGTTTTCAGGCCTTTGGACACAGCCCCATCCCAAAGAACACTGAGCTGCCTCTCGCTGTGTGGGTCAGCCGTAGTGTGGATGTCGGCGGAGGGCTTAGTGGCTGAGCCTCCAGGGAGCTGGGCATCCACAGGCTGTGCACGACCTCAGGACAGGGACTTCACCACTGGGCAGGCAGGAACCTTCTGGAATGGCCGGGTTTAAGTGCAGGCAGAGGGCAGGAAGTCAGGCACCGGGCTCTCATGTGGACAGGCAGTGGGTATGGGGGCTGCCCTGTGCCATCCTGGGGAGGGGTGGCTGCCCTGGCCCTGAAAGGGGCAGGTGCTCCAGGCTCTGCTCCCATCAAGAAACGGTGCTCGCAGGCTGGGCTGTGCCTGGGCACAGAACAGCACCCTGGAACGGGCAAAACCATGCGGGATGAGCTCAGCCCACATGCTGTCTGCACACAGTGGGTGCTCGACCAAAGGGGCAGGGAAGCGGGTGCGGTGTGGGGGCAGCAGACAGGGCAGCAGCGACCTGAGACCCTGGAAGGCCCAGCCACAGCCCAAACCCCTTCCTCAGCTGGGGTCCTGGGGCCACCACTTGTGTCTCAGCCCAGGAAGCACAGAGTCACCATTTGCCTGTTTCACGTCAAATTACCACCAAAAACAAGAGCTCCACCCTGCAGCCGGCTGCCCTCTCAGAAAGCAAGTTAGAATGTGTTAGCGCAAGGGGCTGGCACCCCACAGACTCGTGACGGGTCTCCCCTCCCGGGGTCACTGGGCCATCTGCACCACGACAGCCCGCCATGCTTTCTCCTTGTCAAACTCCTTTGGGGGGCTGCTGGCCACCTGCAACCGAGAGGCGAAGTGTCACTGCTCCCAGGTCACTCGGCGGCAGCAAGAGCGGGGGCTCTGCTGACCTGGGGGCTTTTCCCAGGCTGTGGCAGGAGAGGAGGCACCCAGCCCCTGAGAGGGAGAAGGAGGCGTCTGCCCACATCCTTCACGCCTGTGCCACCCCCACACCAACAGAGCCTGGGGGGGAACTTTTTGGAGGCCCCACATGCTGACTCTGAGTGACTAGGAGGCTGCTGTGGGGCTGTCATCTGTGTGACAGCCGAAGGGGGGGCTTCACCCCAGCACCCGGCAGAGCAAGCCTCTGCACGCAGTAGGTGCTCAGTGAATGCTCACTGACTGGGAGGACGACACACACCGCAGTACAGGAACATACCCGAGGTAGAGGGTTAGGACCCTCCAAGCTCTTCCTGGGTGGCAGAGGTCGGGTGTCCCCACAGAGAGTGTGCAGGCATTGGCCAGGGGCCTGACACGCAGACAAGGAGGACACTTGAGGCAGAGGTCCCCAGAGACCACCCAAAAGGGAGGAGGACAGCTGCCAGTGCCCCGAGCCCCCGGAACCAGCAGCTTTGGAGCCCGGGGGAGGTGCATCCACTCCACCCCATGCCTTGCTGTCCCCACACAGAACCAGGGTGGTCTCATCGAGGCCCAGCGGCAAAGCCAGCCTCAAAGGAGACTGACCACCTGGGGTAGAAATGACATCTGCAAGGTGCAGGGAAGGATGGAGGCCAGGTCACCCTGGGCAGGCGGCCCAAGGCAGGCGTGCATCCCAGGGAAGAACAGGGCAGCCCTGCAGAGGCTCAGCCCGTACAAGGGCCCCGAGCTGACAGTGCTAGCGTGCTCTAGGACGCCACAGGGAAGGGCCCGAGTGGAGGCCTGGCGGCAGGAGCGTGTATTCCACCCTCGAGGACAGGGCCTGGGGACAGGGCCTCGTGGGCTGAAGGACAGTGGGCAGGTTTGCCCAGTAAAAACACCGCAGGACAGGTTGGGCACGCGGACAGTCCCGCCTTTCAGCTGTGTGGGGAGGAAAAGCAGGACCCGGGCAGAGGATCGTCCACGTTTGTAAGAGTAAAACTGGAAGCACCTGGTCCACACGGTTCTTGGGTGCCCGTGTTTCCCTAGCCTGGGACGGATCTCAGTTCGAGATTTTCCCAGGGTGCTTTAGACAATGAAAGGACGCAAGAGGTCGCGAGGGAAGTCCCTGCCTCCCGGGCACTCACCTCCCCCACGGGGCGCTCCCGCGGCCCGGTGTGCGCGGCGCCGTGCGCGCCCGCCTTGAAGCCCGCGCACTGGATGACGGTGCCGGTGTTGAGGCCCGCCTGCAGGAGCAGCTCGAACATGAGCAGCAGCCCCAGCGCATCGGAGGGCTGCGGTGGGAGGAGGGGCCGGTGACCGTGAGGCCCCGCCTCCCCATGCCCCGCCCCCGAGACATGCCCACCTCCCCAGGCCCCGCCCCCGAGACGTGCCCATCTCCCCAGGCCCCGCCCCCGAGACGTGCTCACCTCCCCAGGCTCCGCCCCTGAGACATGCCCACCTCCCCAGGCCCCGCCCCCGAGACGTGTCCACCTCCCCAGGCCCCGCCCCCGAGATGCGCCCCCAGAGTGCAGCAAAAGGTGCCCAGGTGCCCTGCTGGAGCTCCTGTTATCAGCACCACGGCAAGTACGTGCATCATGACGGGAAGTGTTAGTTGCATTCAGCGTTATTAGAAAACAAAATTTGGGACCAAAGGGATGCAAAATAAAACAACATAAGTTAAGACAAAAACCCTAGAACATATAATTCGTACTGGAATTACCAGTGTAAATTCAAGATCTTTAAAATCTGTATTCCTCAGCTCTGTCCACTAAGAGGGCTTAGAGGCAATGATGGCCCAGTAGGAGTGAGCACACAGAGGCCCCAAATCTTGGCCTCTATGTACCATTCCCTGGCCAAGGGACCCAGGCACATCCTGGGCAGGGCGAGGTGAGCCTGGGCCACCTGGGTGTCTGCCCAGAGAAACTGGGGGCTGCCAGGGAGTGCCAGGAGCCCTCCAACAGTAACGAACAGCCCCGAGCCCTGGGGTGCCAGCTCACACAGGATCTCTCCTCACTCCTCCCTTAAATGCAGCTCAGTTGGGGGCCAGCACCACTGCTATGCTGCCCAAGAGGTGAGCGGGGCCAGGGGATACCATGGAGCACTTCCTCCCCAAAAGAGGGGACCCCCGGGCTGGCAGCCGCTGCTGAACCAGGTGGGGGAGCAGCACCATGTGCCCCTGAACCCACTCCTGCTGACGCCGTGGGGAACACACTGGCGGGACCATCTCCCAGACAACTGGCCTACATTCCAGCAGGTCGGTGTCATGGGGAAAGTGTGGCCGTCCTGACCTGGTGCAGGGTGCAGGCTCAGTAGGCCCTGCCCCAAGACTTCAGCCTGCAGAGCATATTCTGGGAATGATCCCTGAACATGGAATGTGACAACACGGGATGACTTTACCTGTCTTAGGTGAGGCAGTGGGGTTCGTGGCGCCTCACTTTTAGAATTGCCAAAGTATTTTAGGGTGAAGGGCCAGACACCTGCCACTCACTTTGAGATGGTGGGTAGGCCAACTGCACTTGGCTCACCACCAACACACATGCACCTACAGACAACCCTAAGCCACTGGGGAGCTCGCATCTTACTGCAGAATTCCTTCAACTTTTCTGCATGTTGGAAATTTCTCACAATGAACATCTGGGGGTAAATACCATCTATACTGGAAGGCATGTAAGAGATAAACCCAGCACTGCATGCCTGAGTCTTCAAGACACAGTAACTGCACGTCGCTGAAGGACTATAGAGAGGCTGGAGGTGTGCACATGGAAAGGCTCTCAATTCTTCTTAAATTTATCTAAAGCTGTGTGATTCAGATAGGAATTCCAGTGGGGCCACTCATAGAACTTGACAGGTCAGTGATTCTAAAACATGAGTGGAAGCAGAAAGGGCCAAGGAAATCCGAGGGGTCTGGGAGGAAGGGGTGTCCAGGTGGGCTACAGGGCTACCTGATGCCAGGAAGAACGGCCCACTCACAGAACCAGGAGCAACCTGAGCACTGGGAGCTGGAAGCAGAGCTGGACCCGCCGGCAGTGGATAGAGCGGGCATCAGGGAATGGTGCAGACGCCCGGCTGTGGGCCTGGCCTCGTGCTGTATGTAGAGCCGGCTCTGGGCAGGTCAGACTGCAAAGCCCATCCTGGCCGGGCGGCCTCTGGTTCAGCCACCTTCCCAGACCCATGCCAACGGTATAGCTGAGCACTGCTTCTGCAGCTTCACAACAAAGGAAGGAACGCGCACCTTGATGGAGGGTGGGTAGTCCCTGAAGACCTCCATGATTTTCGGCACACTGAACGACAGGTATCCAGAGGCGGTGAAGAGCAGCGGGGCTGTGAGGCTGCAGATGGCAATGAGCACCTCCACCTGGTGGGAAGCAGACAGGAGCAGGCTGCCAGAGCCCTCAGCAGATGCCCGCACAGTGGGAGCTGCGAGGAAGCGCGTCTGGGTATAGCAGGGAGCGCCCGCTGGTCTTGACGGGGGTTTTGCACTCTACTCTGACTTAAGCCTCTGCCTGTGCACATGAGTTTCCTCAATCTTTGCACAATTCCGCCCTCTGTTTGTTGAAAAGGTAACAGCTTGAATTGTTGGCCCCCTCTCACTGCCTTTAACACCTGTTCTTGAACCTTCCAGAAGTCTTCCCAGGACACCCAGTCGGGTTCAGAGCCACACTGCTAGAAGCACCTGGGCCATACTTGACCCAGGCAGCGGCCACGTGGGGCATTTGCAACACGGGTATCCCGCCCAGATTCAGTGGCTGTCCCTGTGGAGCTGCTGATGACCACGACAGGCAGCAGGAGCTAGAGGAGCATCTCCTCACGCTTGTGCTCCTGACCCCACCCAATTGGGTCCCTTGGTGCCTGCAGATGGCCGGCTGCCCACCGGCCCCACACACTTAGCTGCCTTCACTTACCAGCTGCGGGCTGGGGCACTCTGCTGCCACATGACTGGCGATGGCACTTGGGAAGCACTGAGGGAGAGGAGAGACAGGCATCAGGGGCAGCAGCTGTGGGCTTGGTGCTGCCCCCTGCTGCCCCGTCCTGTGCAGCGCCGTGGCCAGCAGGGAGAGGCTGCCTGCGGGGGGCCTCCCGAGGCTCTGGCCCCTGGCTCTCCATCCTCATCTGCTCTCCCAGGCAGCTGTGTCTGCTGGTCTCCTGGATCAGGGACACCTAGGCTGACCTTCGCCTGCTGTCCCCCTGATGCAGACACCCTGAGAGGGCACCCACTGGCCACAGGCAGGCCTCGGCCTGCATCAGTCCAGCATTGCTTCATGATCAGACTCAGGGCATCCCACCCACCTGCCATGCTGGCTTCGGCCACTGGCCCGGCCCCCAGCCCCTGGGTAACCAGTAAACTCCCCTCTGTTTAAGGAGTTTGGTTTAGCTCCAGACCATCAGGGCAGAGGATGGTACACACGTCCTCTCCAAGGTTGTCCCCTCCTGCCATCCACCTGTCACCATGGGCTCAGGTGCACAGCACACACTGCTGTCCCAGCTAGTGACCCCGTGTGCATCTAAGCCCTACTTACCCACCCTCACACCCACAGTGGAAAAGGAAATGCCCACATGCTGGGCAGTAGCAGACTGCTCCCCTCAAAGCCCCGGACACTGGAGGGACACCTGCATTTGTCAGGGGCTCTGGCTTGAAGGCGAGGGGTACAGAGGTGGGCTCAGGATGGCGGGAGGAGGACTGGGGAGGGGAGCAGATGAAGGAAGGTGGAGGCAGCAGCAGCTTGTGCAGAGGCCCTGGGGTGGAGACACATAGGGGCCTGGGTGGGGCCCGAGGGAGCCGGAGTGGGTGTGGATGGGACTGTGAGGCAGGTGGAGCTGGGCAGCAGGCTGACGGGGCACAGGTTTGCTTCTGCTCAGTGTAGCATGGCCACTGCAGTCCCTGGCATGGAACGTCCCTGGGGAGGCTGCAGGGGGACAGGCACTCAGGCCCCCAGCCCTGGACCTCTGCCTGGTCTGTGTCCTTGGCCTTTCCCACTGTCCCCCGCCAGGATGGGGCAAGGAGAGCTGGCTCAACCCACCTGGGGAAACCCCACCCGCGCGCTCCCCCACCTCCCTAGGGCCTCCCCAGGGGTGATGTGGACTGGTCCAGGGAGGAGCCTGAAGCCAGCCAGCGCTGCATATGCAAACGGGAGGTGCTGGCCTCAGGCAAGGGCTGTGCCCCACAAGCTGTAGTCCAGCTAAACATGAAAAAATATTCAGTTACATGAGTAAACTTAGAATGACTTATAAAATGATGAAGGACCATATTTAAAATAGTGACCGTGTAGTAAGTACTTACCACATGTTAGGCGTTGTGCTAAGAAATTACTAGAGTAGTATTAAATGTAAAAGGGTAACATATATATCACATTTTATAAAATATATCACATTTTAAAACAACATAAGTGTGTTATATATTATAAAATTATATATAAGTATTTTTTGTGAAAAATAATACAAAAAATATAAAATAACAATAGCAATTAATATAAAAGCAGTTCACCAGACTCATTTAATCCTCTGCTCTCAGGGCCAGCGAGGACCTGCCCGGCCCCCAGCCCCCACCTCCCCTCCTGAAACCCACCCGGACAGAGCTCACAGACAGGCCACGGCCAGCCTGATGGGGGCAGCCCAGGGCGGGGGCCAGCGATTGTGCGGCCACAGCGGACCAGGGCCACCCGGGATATACTCACAGCCACTAAAATCCAAAAGAATGTCACCGAGAAGTAAGGGCGGGAGGCTGCGTCGTCCAGGCTCAGAGCAATGGCCCCGCCCAGGACCGCAGAGACACCGGCGGTCACTTCGATGGCCTGCAGGGGCAGGCCGGGAGAAGCTCAGCCAGGAGAGAGGGGTGGGCCCCAGAGTCCCCGGAACACCAGGGGCGCTGAAGGTTGCCGGCAGGGTAAGGAGGGCGCGAGGGTATCCGACGGGTCAGGGCAAAGCAGCCTGCCTTGAAATGTGATGGTGACTGATAAGGGTACCAGAGATGCTTATTTACAGCCCAGGTTCATGGGAGAGGAAGGCAGAGGCTCCCACCAGTTCAAAGGAAGGGAGGGAGGCAGGAAAGGGCATAGGAAGGGGAAGACAGAAACGTGTTGGTGATTATTCTTGAAGATAATGGGCAGAATTCAAAGGCCACAGGTAATGAGATTAAAAAAATAAGATACAGTTACATGTTGTTTATAGAAGCATAGGAAATACACAGACAAGGAAAGTTTGAGGGAAAAAAACACATCAAGCAAGTGTTAACCAAAAGATAACTGATGTAGGTAAATTAAACCAGTCAGTACAGATTGTATGGCCAATACCAAAGAAAAGAGATTCACTGGACACGATTCGAAACGTGTATGTAATTAAAAACATAGGCTCCAAAAGTCTCTGGCAAAAAACTACCAAGCTACGAAAAGAAACCGGTAACAACACACTCAGTGAGAGGTTTTAGCGGCTCTCTTTCAGCAACAGAAAAGGGAATAAAAGGAAATTTGGAAACAACACAGGGTGGCCGCGATTTGCCCTCCAACCAGGCCCCTGGAGAGAGGGTCCTCGGGGGCAGCAGGTGCCCATCAGGACAGCCTGTGCCGCGGGCACGCACACGCCCAATAAGGACCAAGGGAAGGAACGCCCTCTTACCGAGTAGGATTTCAGGACCCGAGCAGGAAACCGCACTTCGTACAAAATGTTGGAGCTTTCAGAGATGAGACCCTAAGAAATAACAGCGTCGTGGAGCCAGCCGCGGCATGCGGACGTGCCTGGGGTGCCGCGGGGGCTCGGGGCGGGGGCAGCGTGCTGTGAGACACCAGCTCCTGCCGCTAGTGGATCTTCAGGCATGAGAGCAAAAGTCCAAACATGCGATCCCGGCCCCGCGATACCAGTTTACAAGGCGATGCTGTCTGCGGACTCAGTCCCTCCGTGTGACCCTCTGAGCTGGGGTGACCCTATCACGCTCTGGAGGAGTCGGGCTGCGTCCCGTCTCTGTCCCAGCAGCCAACCCCCACCCCAGACCCCAGAGTGCCCTGGAGCAGGCCAAGCGGCCCGCAGACGCGCCTTCCCAGGTGCCTGCAGAGCCGGGCCTACCTTCTGCTTGCAGGATGCCTCGCCGGACCGTGCGGAGATGATCACCGTGGCTGCCATCAGAAGCTCCAGCAGAAGGAGCAGAACCAGATTGAAATTTATCTGCCAAAGGACAACATGGGGTCTGTGAAGCTGGCTTTCTTTGCTTTTATCCTGTAGCCTTAGGTGCCTGTCCGAAGCTCTGGGCAGCTACTTCTGTCCAAGGCTGGATGCCTTCTAGGTGCGTGGGCCACACACCACCTCTAGTTCACACTTTTTTGTTGTTGTTGTTTTAAACCATTCTTAGCTCAAGGATTGGACATGGCTCTCGGGCTGTCATCTGCTGACACCTAATCTAAACCTCCCTTGTGTTTGCCCTTCCTGGGTATTTAAAAAGCTGAAATCTTTCTTTCACACCAACACCTGCACATGCTTACAGCCGCTCTCTGCATAATTGCCAAAAATGGGAAACCCAGGGTCTTGGGGGATTAGGACCATCCCACATCCTGATTGTGTTGGCAGGTCCATGGAGCCATACCTGTGTTAGTGTTCAGAGGACAGCAACCTCAGAAGACAACCTAACCACCTGACACAGAAGGCAGACAGGGAGAGCCCGGCCCACCCTCCTCCGCGGGGCTCACACGCTGGCTGCTCCTCCGGCCTCCTCACCCTGGGCCAGGTCATCCCGACCGGGCAGGCCCTGGGCCCCGCTGCCCACTCTCATCGCCCACACCACACCAGCCAGTCCAGAGCTGGGCCCTGCCCATGTCCTTTCCTGTGGAAACCCCCGTGGCCCCTGAGGCTCCTCTGTGTGCTTCATGTGCCAGAGCAGCACACCCACAGGGCAACAAACAATGCCCTCAGCGTGGTGTGGCTCTGCCCTGGATGTGTCCCACCTCTCGAGCCCAGGAGAGCAGAAGTGAACTGAGGGAGGGAGTGAAGCAAGCCTGAGCAGGGGGAGCGGGCTCGAGCCAGCGGCGGACTCCTCTGCTGTGGCCTCCCTCTCAGCTCGCCTCTGCTCTGCCAGGCTCGAGATCCCGCGGGCAGGAACAGATGGGACAGGAGTCCTGGCGCAGTCTGGCGCAGGTGGTGGGCGGGGTGGACGCTGCAGTCTAGGCACTGGGAGAGGTGGCACAGTGGGCCACGCTTGAGCAGAAGGCTGAGCAGACGAGGTTTCGTGTGTTACAAGGTTTCGTGTGTCTTTCACAATTTACCCACTCCATGTCCCTGGTGCTGTTCCAGGTGATTGATGCGCAGTGGGTTGCCTGCTTTGCTTTGGGGCTTCTGCCACCATACGTGGTGCTGCTCGGAGCCACACCTCCCAATCCCACGTGCAAGTGTGTCTGTCTGCACCCATGGCAGGTGAACACATAGCCACAGCGTGTGCATGTCTTCAGAGGCACCTGTACTCTCCAGACTGCCCTCCCAAGGGCCTGCGGCAGGCTTGGGAGTGCCGGACAGAGGCCCGCCTCCTGGACCCCTGCCCGTCAGATGTGGGCCAGCACCCCCACAGTTTTAATTATCTACACTGGTCACTAAGCAGCTGAGCGTCTCTCCAGCTGCCTGCGGCTGCCCCATGTCATCTCCTGGCACACCTGACTTTCTCTGTAGTGGGAGGTCCACCACACTGTGGAGCCAGCTCTTCATCCTGAGACTTCACCGCCCTTCCTTAGCGAGCACTCCTTGTCTCCAGGGCGGGTGGGCAGGTGTGTCTCAGCACTGGGACCGCCTCGGCACCCGTGGCACTGCTCCCAGCCCACCTGCCTTGTTGGGGACCTAAGGCAGCTCCTGGCTGTAGGGGGAGTGGCCAGCCTGTCTTCATGGGGCTCCTGCCCTGGCCTTGGCTCACTGCCCCAGCCACTGGGTCCCCCCTGCACTGGCACCCCAGGCCCAGGGTGTCGCCACCTCGCTGGCTGGGACATTAGGGGAGATGCTATGATTCTCAGTGAGGCTTTGTGATTTCCTACAAAACCGCCTTGCAGACCTTTTGTCTCATTTAGTCTCTGGAACTTTACATGTTTCTTCCCACGCAATATGTATATTTAAATTACATTTTCTAAATGCTCTGTTATGGCACACACAGTCATTTTATGCTGATCTTCACACCCAGCACCCTCCTTCCAGGCTTCTGGAGATTCCAGTGACAAGCGAGTAGGAAATCCTCTCTTCTGCAGAGGTTGGTAGTAGGTGTCCCTTCGAGGCCTGTGGGTCTGCTCAATTCTCGTGCCTTTTAAGCCTGGCTCAGACTTTCTTGGGGCCCCCTCATCCTTCTACCAGTCTTAAAGTGTGTTCAACATTTCACACAGGCAGGGGGCTATTTTTGAGACATATTCAATCGGGTCCTTGTTTTTGTCTGGGATTCTTCTCTTTCAGCAACATCATTTAAAAGACAAGACTTTTCCCTTTTCTCAGTGGTACACAAGCAGTGTGTCTTATGATCAAGAGCATCACAGGCTGATGAAATATGTCACTATGAACTGTTATTTTTTAAAAACTGTTGTAGAAAAGATTGTGTTATCAGTAAATCCATTTACGGAATCAATAAGAATTAATTAAAAACAATTCTTTTCTTCAGAAGCATGTGTAAAATCCTCAATATTTTTCAGACTCAAGAGTTATGATGCACATTTAACTGCATAGCTACGGCGCTTTCGCGATGCAACGGATGGCCCTCCTGACGCCCACCCTGGGGCCCAGGGCTCAGCAGGCTCCGTGGGCCCAGAGCGCAGCCCCTACATCAGCAGGAAGGCAGGGAGGCACCTTGGGGCCCGCCTCCCTTTCTCATGACTCACGTCTGTTGCTGATGGGCTCAGGACAAGTTTGCATCCAAACCAGATTAAACACGTGGTGGTGACAGCAAACGTGGAGACAAACAATATCTGAAAGTTGGGAATCTGAAACGCAAGACAGCGGGTTATTCTCCACTGTGTAACTAGAGAAGTGGAGGTCACATTAGACCAAATCCCAGGTCACTGATCAAAAATCCTAGAACTCTTAACACTTAAGAATTAGCTGGGTGGGTGGCCTGCAAGCTTGGGCCTCTCTTGGCTGGAAGGGACAGGGCACCCCATGGCGGGGGCCTAGGGCTGCTGTGGGGTGGCAGAGACACATCCCACCCACACGCGAGTGCCCACAGAGGGCCCGGGCCTGCCCCCCCGACCGCTGGGGCAGCACACCATCATGCCTCTTCCACAGCTGAGGGCTGGGCAGCTCCCCCACCCACGGGACAGGACAGGAGGCTGCACTCACCACCTCAGTGGTCCTCCTGGAAATGGCAAAGCTCGCAACGGCTGATGGGATGCACTGGGAAGAAACAGAGCCAGGTGAGCAGTCACACGGTGCCCTAAGAGCACTGGGGAAGACCTGGGACACGTCACCAGCCCACTGGACGCACGTGCCTTTCAAAATAAATTTATCCTGGAAGAAGCTTTAACTTTTCAAAAGAGATGAAAAGATATCTAATCATGAGGACCTTCCGGCTGGACATTCTCGGAAGCCCAGTGCGGCCTCTTGTGCACAAGCCTAGGGCTCCTCTTCGCTGAAGAGTTGCCCATGAAGGGAATCTGTCCTGGGAATCTCACCTGAGGCCCCACTTTGATCCCCACAGGAGCCAAGGATGAGGAAGAGGGTGAGCATGGGGTGCCAGGGCGGGGAAAGTGGCCAGAATGAACTGCACGGACCTCTCGGGGACACCTTGAGGGCCACACCAGGTGCCACTCTGGGGCAGAGGGCTGCAGACCCCACAGTGGGAGCAGCCCCAGCCATGGCGGCAGAGCCCCCAAGACGAATGGCAGTGATCTGAGGGGGCCCCAGGGGGAGCAGTGAGACCACGTGACTTGCTTCCCCTCCTGTCATCTCAGGGGAAGGGCACAGCCAAGAATTTTGCCTTGCCCTGGAGCCATCTGGGTTGGAGGTCAGAGGTCACCATCACCCCCAAGAGCTGCTCCAGTGGTGAGGACAAAGGGCTACCTAGAAGGTTCCAGAGAGAACCGTAGGGGTGGGTCAAATTCTTTCAAGGGGTTTTGTTCTATGGGAGCAGAGGCCGGTTGACACAGGGGCTGGGGGACAGTACAGGGAGCTTGTGTCTGCTTGTGCTCTAAGACACTGAGGGTGCTGATGGGTCCCACAAGACCCCAGGGGCCATGCACCTTGGCCTCCCGTGGCTCCCATGAATCCAGAAGCACGCACGGGCTTTGGGGAATGGTGGGGGTATAGTCCCCAGCTGCAAAGGGCGGGCTCCCTGCCAGCTCCCAGGGTGGTCCGAGCATCATATACTGCCCGTTTGAAGTCAGAATGCCATTTCTTGCCCAGGAGTCTGTGAGTAAGACCCAAACCTGCTTCTTCAGTCATTTTCAAGAGTAACAAGTCCTGTTTGCAGGTAAAGTCACACAAAGAGATTTTGAATGAGGAGCAAGTGACCCTGAAGGGAAAATCTGGAGCAGAGAGGCTGAGGTGCACAGCCCCAGCCTCCGGCACCAAGGTGCCACCAGGGAACACCGCTTACCGAGCCTGCAGCACAGCGCAAGTAATCCATTTCAGAAGGAAACACGTTCCCCAGGTAGAGCGAGAACCCCGACGTCACCAACAGGCAGCTCTGCGAAGCAGCACAGCTCAGGTCACACCACGGTCTTGCCCGGAGACTGACGGCGAACACCCGGCCTCTGCCCACAGCCTGGATCCCACCAGACCTGACTCCTCCCTGGTATCACTACAGCCTCATACTTTTTGGGAGAGAGCGGCTCTGTCATAGTTTAAAGCAAGAAGTGGTGCCTCTCTCCAGAAAGTGCTGTCACCCCAACATGTACAATTTCAGGGCCTCAGAATCCCAACCCTGACCACACCTGCTCAGGCCAGAAGGACTCCTGCAGCCCTCAGGTGCCATGAATGTCTGCAAGGAAATGTCCCAGGACCCCAGGCAAGTCCTCTCAAATGTTTGGTGTCCTCCAGCCTGCCCCCCAGCTCTCTGCTGGCCCAAGCCCTCCTCCCACGCTTCCCACCTCGGGACACTGTCCCACCATTCACTCTGCCAGCCAGTGGGCCGCCCTGGGAGCACAGCCCCTTCTCTCCATCTTGAAAGGCCACCCCTCCAGGAGTTGAGGGTCCTAGAGGTACTCTGAGGTGAGGCAGGACCCAGCAGTCAGCGTGGGCCCTGGGCTGTTCCAGCCTTGGTGGGACACAGAGCAGCCGCGGCAGAGGCCAGCAGGCTGATGTGACAGAGAGTCGTGAACTGGAGACTACAAGGCTGTGTAGGACCCAGGAGCAGCTGCTTCCCGGGCCAGCTGGAGCCACACCCAGGCCAGGGGATGTGTGAAGGCAGGCCAGTGGCCCATGGCCCTGTCATGGAGTTACTCACCCCCATCAGCACAGAGAAGACCCAGGTCTTGTGACTGAAGCAGAGGGGCAGCCTCGTTGACAGCTGGAGGTCACCAGGCATGCCCTCTGGTGCGGCGCTCCCTGCCCCTGGCCTTCCTAGCTCCTCCCTGCACAGCTCCTCCCGGGTCATGGAGCCTGGGGGACAGACGCCGGCATTCACAGCCTCAGGACAGCTGCGCTGGGAGGCCAGTCACCTCTGCTGCCATTCCTTTATTTGTAATTAAGTTATTATTTTCTTTTGATCACTTTGCAAAACCTCTAAAATACATTGTCTTCAATAAACACTCACTTTTAGGTTGTTTCAGTAAAAGAAATAGCGTTCATACCGAGTGAGGTATGAATTTGAAGAGCAAGCTCTTAGTTCTACAGTGCAGAAAATGGTCTGGACTTCAAGGTCTAAGAGCCTCACTCACCCAGTCCTCCGGAACATTCCCACCTTCCCCAGCAGCATCATTCATGTGCTGCGACCTTTCCAAAGTGTGTTCATGTGCTCAAGGTGGCAAGTGAACCCAAGATGGTCAAGTGGGCGCCCACTAGACATCTTGGTGTCTGCCTGCTTACCTGCGGGGGTTCTGGGCGTCAGGAGTGCTGGTCTGTAGGTGAGGGGCTTGCTTGCTGTTAGCCAGTCAGCCTGCCTTGGGCTCCCAGCAAGAACTATTCACAGACAGAACAAAAGCCCAAGAAAACTGCACTTCAGTGGGGGAAGGAGGGCTGCCTCCTGAATTTCAATGAGGAACTGCAGCGCGGTCCTGGAAAGCTCTGTGGTGGCCGCATAAGCAGTGGCCGCACAATGGCTGGCTCAGAGCGCTGCTCGGCCAGGTCAGCAACACCGGGGAGGTTCCGTCACACAGCTCTCTCGGGCACCAGAGCAGGTACCTTGGAAGAAACAGCCGTACCTAAGGAAGAACTGCCATTGACCGAGCACAGAACCCGGCAGGCCAGAGCGCCAGGAGCCTTCTTTTGAAACAAGTAACTTATTCAAAGGCCTTTTCGCACATCCTTTCAAGCAGACTTTTCCCATCCTGTGATCATATGAGGAAGGTCTCCCTTTGCAAAGTCACATACACACTTGCACACCCAGCTCGGCTGGCATGGCCCCGGAGCTGCTTGGAATTCTGGCCATTGGCCCTTTATTTCCGCTCACTAAGCAGAGAGAAAGGACGGGGAATGTACTTTGCCCAGAGTCACTGGCGCGCTGACAGTCACAGCAACAGTCTTTGTGCACATGGGAACCATGAAATGCCCACACCAAAGCATTCTGAACACCCAGCTCCTCAAAGCAGAGGCATCCGTTTCAAATCATAGGGTGCTCTGTTGTCTCAGTTTAAAGGTTAGAGTTAATTTGCACACACTGTAACCTGTGAAAGTCAAGAGATTTCAAAGAGGTTGAAAACCCTCCCAAACATCTTTACTAATTTTAAAGTAATGCACAGAATTTGCTGGGATTGGTCCAGCTGGATCAAACCCTTCGTGTGTCTGCTTGAAGAAGAATGCTAAGTTGATTTCACCATTTCTGTGCCTTTCCAAAGTTGTTCTATTAAAAATCCAATCACGTTGCCTTGAAACAGGGACTGTAACACAAATTTGTCAAGACCCTAGAGTCATAGTCACTTGAGAAGTGGTTCCTTGTTTCCATAGCAATGCTAGTTTTGAAACAAGTCCTGTTCTTTCTTTCATACTGTCTTCAAACACATCATTGCTCCTAAAATGTACTTCTTCCCATCTGTCTGCTGAGGTCCTACCCATGCTTCAGCATTTACACGGCCATTCTGCAAATATTTATGGAGGGAACAAAGCTGGCCCCATCCTTCCTACATGGAGCTTACATTCTGATTGGGGGACAGGTGCACACAACACAAATACATTAGTGTGTTCTGTGGTGACGCACCTGTTCTCCACGATGGAAAGTGGGGGAGGGAAACGAGGGGGTGCAGTTGGGGAAGTCAGGGCAGGCCTCACGGAGGAGGAGGCATTTGAGCAAAGATGTACAGAAGGTGGGGAGAGGAGAGGCACAAAGGCCCTGAGGTTGTATAGTTGGAAGACAGAGGGCAGAGCGATCCCGCGGGGTCAGGTGCAGGTGAGGCATCCAGGTACAGGGCTCCTGTGGATGTGGAGACAAACTTGACTTTAACTCTGAGATGGACCGAGGGTGGGTTCTGGGCGAAGGAGCATCCAGCCACCTATGAGGCGAGAACATCTGGCTAGGACTCAGGTGGAGGGGTGGGCAGTGGAAGGTGCCTGGATTCTGGAGAGATTCTGAAGAGCTTGTAACACCACCTACAGTCAGCCTGACCTGGGGCAAGAGGGGCAGGAATTCAGGCAATTGGACCTGCCTCACCTAAGATGGAGAAGATGGTGAGGCAGGTCCAGGGGAAGGTCAGGAGGCTCATTCTGATGATGAGGTTCAGATGTCTGTGGGGTGTCCAAGGGGACTGGAAGGCAAAGTCTCAAATCCAGGTCAGGCTCAGGCTGACGACTCCAAGCGGCAGTCCTGTGAAGGGCAGTCCCCTTTGCTCCGGCCACCTCTTCTCCAGGTCCCTGCTGGGAAGCCCCACCAAGGATCCAGCCGTGTTGTGATTTACACGTTTCTGAAGGAATGCCTCTTCCCACCTACCCAATAAATGCCTGGGAACTTCCCATTCCCATGTGTACTCCAGGCCCAAGGGGAGGACTTAGCCGTGCTTCCTAAAAGTTTAAGGAATGAGTAGCTCCCCCATGTCTCAAGGAATTATAATCATCGTAAGCATCTAAAGACAGGGAGGCCCAGGCTGTCAGTTAGGCTGATGATCTGACCAGTAAATCAAAAACATGCTGACAAAACAAATTTGGACTTTCACCAGCCAAGAACGGCAGGACACCTGTTTCCAACTGCCTGTGGAACATTCACAAAAAGAGACTATAGGGAGGGAGAACTCAGTAAACTTAAGACTGAATACATCCAGATTTTATTTTCTGACCATGACAAAATTAGAAACTGAAAGTTAAAATACAAGACAAATTTTGTAGTATGCTGCTTAGAGCTTAGAGAAGTTTATAACTTCATTGCTTATATTAAAAACGGATAAAGTTCCAAAATTCATGATCTAAATTTCCACCATAAGAAGTTAGGAAAAGCACAAATTAACCTCCGCCCCCCCACCAAAAAAAAAAAGATAAAACGCAGGAAATACTAAAGAAGAGAGAAGAATCAATCAAACCAAGAGGTTTTTTTTTTTAAAAAAAAATTGATAAAATCGATAAACCATTAGCTAGACTGATGAAAAACAAGAGGGGAGACAAAAATTACCATTACCAGGAATGATAGTCCATCACTATGGATCGCGTGTGCATTAAAGATAGTAAGTAAACACTGTCAACAATTTTGTGTCAGTAACGCCACACCTTAGAGGGAGTGGCAGAAATGACAGAAGCTTACTGAACATCACCTCGATAACGGGATGGTCCTATAGCTACCGGGCAAGTTGAATTTGTAATTTAAAATTTTCCCACGAAGGAAACTCCGGGCCCAAGTGAGTGCACTGGTGAGCTGCACTCACGTGGAATGAATTACACTGACCCTAGCCGTCCAGACAGGGGAGGAAAGGGCTCGCTGTGTGCAGCCAGCTTAGGATGCACAGCAAAACCCCAGGCCGGACAAAAGAGCCAGACGGGGTGGCAGGGACCCATATCCCTCGGGAAGCTCCTGCCCCTTGACCGGTGCCACAAGGCGACTGGCATTCCCCAAGCGTGGTAAACCGTGAGCGGCCCAGGCGAGCAGGGCTTCCGCAGCCTGAACTCCGGCCCGTGCGTCTCACTCCCGCTAACGGGCCCCGCGGATGCGGAGGAGCAGCCGGGGACCGCCGCACCCCCGCCCTCGGCTCTCGGAGGGCGGGAAGAGGGCCCCGGGCCCGCGGAGGCCGCCGCCCGCCCAGTGCCGCCCGCGACGTCACTCCGCGGCCTTGCCTGGCTCGCCAGCGCGCCAAGGGCCCAAGAGCCAACCGCCGACCGCCAACGGTCGGGGCCGCGAGGCAACCCCATTGGCCAAGCGCAACAGCGCGCGGGCGCAGGCGCGGGTGCCGCGGCCCCATTGGCCCCCGGGGCGGAGCCGTGCGCAGGCGCCGCGTGGTAACCGCGTTGGACGAGGGCGGTGGGCAGCGCGGCGCTGCGTGGCGGCGAGGCCGAGGCCGCGCCATGCTGCGTCTCGCGGCCAAGCTGGTGGCCTTCTTCTGGCGGAGAGCGGACGGCTGCGAGGGAGAGGCCGGGCCGCCGGAGGCCGAGCTCGCGGAAGGTGCCTCGCGGGCCGGCGGTCGGGTGGGCGGCCGCCGCCTCGGGGCTGTGCGTCGGGGCTGGAGAAGCGCCGGCGTCCTCTTTTGCTCGTTTCCACCCCAAACGCAGGCCCTGCCCCGGGAGTGGCAGTGTTTCGCGTGTCTGGACGCCAGTCCCACCTGCGGGGGCCGGGCCATCTCAGGCGCCCCCTCGCTCAGCGCACCTGGTGTCATGGCGGCCGGCAGCGTGCCGCGCCCCCCACCCCGGGCTCCCTCCTTTCTTCGTCGGTGTTGCTCGTGTGCTTAGAAGGCTCTGAAAATACAGCGCCCTAAAGAACCTCATGGGATCGTGTGCCACCTGTCTGGAGAGTGTCTTGATTCTCTCCTCCCGGGAGCCCAGGGCACCCAAAATTACACAGTTGCGTTGTCCGGGGGTCCTAGCGTTTTCGCCCAGCCCCTCCTCCTCTTTGAGAATTGAATTCATGCAGGCACGTCAGAATTGGAGTTGCACGTCGAAGGCCCCGCGCTAACAGCCGTCTGTGCCTAGAGTTGCCGCTGCCTGCGTAGTTGTCTATGAAATGCCCTGGGCTTCAGCTCGGTGCCCCAGCAAGCTTGGGTGTTGTACCACGACCTGGCCACAGCCCAGAGTAGCAGTGAGGACTCAGAACCCCGGTGCCAGTGGGGGATCTCACCAGGACTGGGGGCTCGCTGTTTGGATGAGGGCATGCCCCCTCCTGGGCCAGACTTACTCCCCAAGCCCAGAATGTCTTCTAGCATCTCTTGGTGAGACAATACAGAACCTCCTGACCGCTGCTAATGTTACCCATGATGGGAAAATACAACGGGGCAATAACAGTAGGAATGACCCCTCAGACCCCATAGAATGCTATTAAGTTACCCTGCACCCCACCTGTGCCAGCCATTCGGAGGTCTGTACATTGCACTTGATTCTGTCGTGTAACCCTCAGCTCTTGGGTAGAGACCATATCTGTCTCCATTTTACAGATGATAGATAATAGGCACAGGGTGGGTAAGGATCCAGCCCAGGCTTACACGGGGCAGTGGGAGATTCAAAGCGGGCAGGCAGGCTCTGCAGTCAGAGCTATCTGCCCCAAGTCCACCATCTGCCCCTCGGAGAACCTGGGGCAGTGTGCCTCAAAACCCCTGCATTCTGAACACTCATTTCCCCCGGAGAGTTCTCCAGCCCGTAGGCTCCTAGCCCATGGATGCCAGTGTCCTCCCCCTTTCTCTGGTAGGGAGTATTTGTAGTGTGGGCTGACTTTTGTGGTCAAATACAACCTCTTCGTTTACCCATCTCAGGGGACACCAAGTTGAAAACTGTCCAGGGTGTGGTGACAAGGTACTGCAGCGATTATGGCATGATTGATGACTTGATCTACTTCTCTAATGAGGCTGTGACTGGCAGAGTGCTCCTGAATGTCGGACAGGAAGTCACTGCGGTTGTGCAAGAAGACAAAGTGTCAAATGGACTGAAGGCCATCAGGGTAAGGCCTGACTTCATTCGGGAAGTCTCTTCACCACGGGGCTTCCTGCTGCTGTCCTGCTGCTCAGAGGCAGCCTGGCCACTGGAGAGCAGAGTGTACCTGTGCGGGATGCCCTTGGTCTCATAAAACTTAGTGGTGGTCAACTGTAAATCACTCAGACAACACAAATTTAAAATTCCTAAACTTGCCTATAATTTTATACCACCGTAAAGAACAC